CAATAGCCCATAGGGAGTAACACAAATACCAAAAGTGATCGCAAATCGTCGATACTTGTTACAAATTGATATAATTTAAGATGAATTTGTACTAGGGTGGTCCAAAAAAATTTTTAAATGTTAAGCTCTCACCCCCTACGATTTTTCTAAATAAAATGAAAAAACTTTGATTCTCTTCAGGAAGCTATCAATAATAATACCCCATTGTTAACTTAACTATTTTCTAATATTAACTATTTTCTATATGTCCTCTGAAAACCCCATGAGAACGCAATGAGTGGGGGACCCTTATAAAATCGATAGCATTAATAAATTAAGTCGAATTAGATCACTAAATTTCTAGAGACTTTGGGTCGTGGAATCCGAATTTGGAAAATTAATTTAAAATTTTTTTATCTTTTTTCTCCAGCGTCAGAGACCATATTTTATGGTTCGAGTTTAGTTATTTTCGGGTTAGAAAAACCGATGTAAATTGTTTTCACTTTTGATTCGGACTAAGTGACATAAAACCTATAGGGAAAGATTTATTTTGCGTGGGGCGTTGGGCCGCTTAAATTTGGAAAAAATATAGTTGCAAGCTTACAATAATTCACTTAGGTAGAGATAAAATTTGATTAGGGTTTGGTTGTTCCACAAGGGAATCCATGTATTTAAACGATTATAAAATAATAAAGTAGAAACGGAGTAGACTAGATGCTTAAGAGTGTTGAGACACATGCCAATCATTCTGGACTGATCCAACGTGGATGTCACTTCACTTTGTCTGAGTATTTTGTCTTACTGCAGTTTGACCTGTATACAGGGAGGAGGTTGCGGATAATATTAAGCGCTGTAACTCAGTGCATTTTACTCTTAATCAAGATATAACAAAGGACCTCCGTCAAACTGTGCCAGTGATGGCTTTCTCCGACCAGTTAAGCTTTCTGTCCAATATAAGGCCCAAGTGTTTGACTCCCTCAAAAAGGTTTGTGTAAAACCATAAATGGTGTGGTGAAGGAAGCTGGAATTGGAAAATTTGGTTTTATTCGTAAAGGCAACCAAAATGGTCGTTGTTGGATTGGCGTTCGTTCAGTCCGCTATCCTTCGGCCAGGCTTCCAAATAGTTAAGGCGTTCTGAATTAGTTCATTTAGTATTTGAATTTGTTTTCCTGCTGCAATTAGTTCCACATTGTCCGCGAAGCTATGGGTTCACTTCCTGTACTCTGTAATCGGAGTAGCAGATTAAGTTTGTATTTATTGTTACATTCCGTAGGAGCAAGCGGTAGCCCCGGGGAATGGCGTGCCTGTTAGGTAAACCTTTACCAAAAAAATAGTTATGAAAAGTCACCATCGAACACAGATTTGCCAAAAAAAATAATCTGAGTTGAAAAGTCAGAAAATTTAGCGCTCTTGCAGTTTTCTCGAAAACGATAAGCGTTTTCATTAAAATAGAAGAACAAAAGTTGTACATTATTTATTTGTCTACAAGAATATACATATACATATACAACTTTAAATCAGTCGTATTCTACTTTGACTGGACTATAGATATACATATGTGTGCAATGAAGAACTTCGTATCTGAAATCGAAATTTAACACATATTTCTTATTTATATACGTATGTGTTTTCTATGTGTCGCTCTTTCGCAGTCTGATCGTTTACTGGCCAAATATGTGGGTGGTATACTTAAAGAGGCTGCATTTAAATTAAAAAGACTACCGAATCTTAATCAAGCATCAACGGCGATATCCAAGCAGGTTACCGTCATTGGGGATTTACATGGAAAACTAGATGATCTTTTAGTAATTTTCTATAAGGTAAATTAGAATAAATATTCGGTCTTATGTACACATGTAAATATATGCCACGTTTAATCTGAACCTTTCCTATTTAAATATTTTCAGAATGGTCTTCCTTCAACCGAAAATCCCTACGTCTTCAATGGCGATTTCGTGGATCGCGGCAAGAAGGGACTTGAAGTCTTCTTACTGCTGCTGTCCTGCTTTCTTGCATTTCCTGGTGCTGTGCATTTAAATCGCGGCAATCACGAGGATTCAGTGATGAATGCGCGTTACGGTTTCATACGTGAAGTGCAGCAGAAGTATCGTGTAAGTGTGATTAATCAGGTTGAAATGAAAATACAGTGACACAAACAAGTGTACACTCTTTAATTTTTCTTTATATTCATAACGTTTTTATATATAAAAAGACATAAAAAGAAAACGTGAAAGCAGTCACACAAAAAAAATTCTAAAAATCAACGGAATTTTTTAGCCGGTTGAAACTTGCATTTAATAACACAAAAATTAGAATATAAGCTCGAAATTTTTATGAAATTTTTTTAAATTTTTTCTAAATTTTATATAATACGTGCACACTTTTTTGAGCCACTGTATTTAAGCACAAAAAAAAAAAACAAATAAGCGAAACGCTTTAATTCTTAGTTAAACTGTTCTCTTTAAGACACACATTTTTATTTTTTCTTCACCTCACAGCGCAATGCTGAGAAATTGATGATAATGATTGAAGAAGTCTACCGCTGGTTACCGCTGGGAACCATTGTCAACAATCGGGTGTTGATTGTGCATGGCGGCATCTCCGATACAACCGATTTGGATATGATAAAAAGTATCGACAGAGGAAAGGTGAGGCAAGGAGATAATATTAAAAAGAAAAACAAGAATAAGGTAACAGAAAAATCAACCACATGCACGCACATAGTATGTGGGCAAATGAAAAGTGTATATAAAAAGTTGACCTGTGAAGACATGCTGATAAGGGACATCATACTTTAGGGAACACAGTTTAAAAAACGCAAAGAAAGTTCAACTTATTGATTTTACGTTAATGAATTCCCTAGCGTTTGTCTCGCTGTCAATTTTAACAGTAATTTGATTAACCTCATTAAAAGCTCGTCTTACGTATAAACACACGCACTACATTTTTACTCTACTGTGCTAACTTACCTACATACTTACAGCTCATTGCCATTATTACCATCCTGCTGCTCTAATTATTGCTACTGCCCGATTAATGTTTGTCCCTTTGCCTTTAATTGGTACCTGGCCAGCGCTTAATGAACTCATTGGCATTGTCATGTGAATTACTTGCCTTCAATTAACACAAAGATAAGGTTGGCTAAGCGTTGAAAGAAAATTGCAAATGGCGCATTGTTAATTTTAAAGTGTTGTAATTTAAATACATACATACACACATACCTACGTAGTAACATAGGCAAGTGGGATGTGGAGTGGATTGAAATGTCAGCTAATTAATGCATGAGTCGAAGCCCTTAGGTACTTACAAACATACAAAAAAAAATTTACTGACTTGTACAAGTAGAACACATATCGCGCAGTTACATACTTACCTACATTTGTATGACTCCAAGCGCCTGCACTAGCGGTGAATGAGAACAATGACCTACACTGCGTATGAGTGCATTTTAATGAAAGGCAAGGGTCTTGTTAATTCTGCTGGCGTACACACATACACATACCCTGTGGGGAAAATCGCTAGTTCTGAACTGGTGCGCTGCTAGTACATTTAGACCCAGTACTGGTTCGCAATAAATCTCTTTTGCATGCAAACAACTGGCGAATTTTTCGATAGTTCTGAACCAGTTCTAAAATCGACAGACAAGTGAAAAAATTATCATGATTTTTCAATCGTTTTGGTTCTTCCGTGTGATGTGTGATTTTAAATTATTTTCAAAGAAATGTGTTTTAAATTTGAAATTAAATATGTTTTAATTTTTGTAAGAAATGCACGTTTACATACCTTTGGCTTTAGCTAAGTTTGCAGAGGTGCTTGCTGTTATTGGTTAGATTCCAGCCGGTCGCAAAATGTTAAAATGTTTACATAAATTTTTGTTATTATCGGACTGGTTCGTTTTTGGCTATAAAGATCTAGTACGGAACTAGAAATTTGATTCACTAGTAGTGCGCGGTTTCTCTGCAGGGTATGTACATACATACACAAAATCCACATGCAATAAACGCAGTTTTTGTGATGGCAATGCATGCGAATACTGTGCGTTAAAAAGTTCAGAAATTAAAATTTAAAAACAAGAATTTTTTCAATCATTAATCAATAGTGGTAGTCGGTTCGAAGATTTAAGGTGTATGTCATGTTCGGGAATAAAGAGAAAATAAATTAAACCAAGATTAAGATATGCCAGCTATATAAAAACATAGAATGCTGGTATAGTGTTAGCGGTTCTTTGCATAAAACCAAGTTTTTTTTTAACGTTTGGTCTCTTTTAAAGGCTATATATATGTTAACGTGTTGACTCGCGCTTCGACTACACACAGTTGATTCACTAAGAGTCATACCAGAGTCATTTTGGTGTAATTAACACATATTTATTTTTACTAACACATCCAAACCGACTCCCGAGTCAGACGTCCTGTGTATGCCGCCTATTAGGAATATAGCGATTCATGTCTTGTTGGCGTGTACTTTGTAATTGTTAACGTCACAGGTGTCAAAACAAAAAGCTACATTTGTTACATTACAGAAGTTACAAATCTGTCTTAGATCCAACCTGATAGCTATTTACATTGTTCTCGCCCCTAGTGGAGGATGGTTGCAGGTGCAGAAGACCACGCCTACGGGGAAAGTATTTGATCGCCATTCACCAGGAAGTGGCATCTAGTTTAAGCAGCTTGCGACTTCCGGTGTTTACACTAATTATTCTCCAGGTAGTAGTTGTTCGGAAGCGAGCTTATTGTGAGTAGGTGAAACACAACCCCAGCATTGGGTTGTTCGTTGGGTTTGGGGCCCGCCACATAGAATAATAACCATTCAAAACAAAAGTGATGCCTCGGATGAGAGCCCCTTCTTTTGATGAGGACCACGGCAAACGTTTAAGCAACTTCGATTGGCGCAATGCTCGTCGGAAAATTCAACCTGCACGACGAAGCGTCCGATGACCATCTGATCGACTTCGCCGGGCCGAAACCTGGTAGTATTTATGCAGTACCAGGCTACAGCATAAAAATATCCATCAACCTAGGTGGCTGTTTCCAGATCGAAAAATGAAAAAAAACAAATTGAGAATTTCGTGATATACGGCAGACACGCTGCCAGTGTTTTAGACGTGCGTACATTCCGAAGTCAAAACATCGACGCAGACTGCGCCTATGTGCAGAAAGAATTGTGCGTCCAACTAGTTAAATTAAGAAGTCTCAACGTCAAAAAGCTTCAATCATAACAGACGGTCAATTTATTCGTCACTCGGCTACCACACATGCTCTCAGAGAGCACTCTTTAATGAACCACCAGGTGGAGAAGGACTTGGCTGGACTTGCCATTTCCAATTAGCGCCAGTGAGCTGTATTAGATTCGACCAGAATGGCTTAGGCGCTTACAGCGGCAATGAGTGAGAAGACCGAAGAAACTTGGTTTTCTTTTAAATTTTAATTTCTGAAATTCCACGAATACTTTTTTAATATTTTGCATTTAATATTTTAAAAGTAGCTATGGCTTATCTACCGTTGCAACCTCAAATCCTTGTGCAGCAGTCTTTTCCACTGCAGTTTACTACATTGCATGGACTCGTCGCATTTCCGCCATTTACATTGAAATTGAATAAAAACTGAGAAAAGTTAACTAGCTTTTGCATGCAAACATTTAATAAGGAAATAAAAGAAGCAAATAAACTGAACTCCACTTAAATGCTAACAAAGTAATGCGCCACGAACATGCAAGTGGATAAGTGCTTAAAAAGTCAGGTCAATAGAGTTGCAATTACGTAAGTGGAGGACAATTTAGAAAGAAAAGTGGTGTGCACTATCACATGTATGTATGTATGTATGTATGTACTTATATTGGTAAGCTGTGGTACGGGAAGGTAATCTAAACGACATTTAAATGGCATTGTCACGATTTTTTAAGGCTCCACCCAAAGAAGAAAAAGTACTTTTAAAGGATTTTTATATATAGCGGTTCGACGAAGATCCTTTACATAGATGTTTGTTGGCTATAGCTATTTTGGAGGAAAATATGCCAAAGCGACACCACATAGTATATGTAAATGAAATTTCAAACTCAATAGCTGTTATGCCGAATTTCCACTAGGCGTTGAAATGACTAAAAATTGGTGCCATTTAAAAAATGCCATGTGGAAATGAATTGAATGACTATTTTTTTAACGTAAAGACACGATTATTTTTAATGCTCAACTTTATCATTACAATTTTTGCCATTTAATGGCTAGTGGAAATCTAGCATTATGATATTTAATCAAAATTAATTTGCGCTTCTAAACACAATGTAACGATTGAATGACGTACTTATAACAACTTTTAGGGAATTAAGATTACTGTAGCCGTAAAAGAATGGCGCTTAAAATCAATACCCTCTCTCTACACAAATACTAACTACATATATATCTACGTACCTATTTCATATTCATTAACTGGCGCTTGTTTTCTTCATACTCGTCACTTGATTAGTCAAAGATTAACTTTGTTTATTTCTTTCTTCCACATACATTTCACGTTGCCGTTTCGCATTTTTTTCCGGCATGGCCTTACGCATGTCTCTCGCATTTACTCGTCAACTGTATTTGGTCTACGTGTGGATGCGCTGCGATGTTTACCGGCGTACAGTATGTCTCTATTTTGCGGCCACCCATCGAGATGGCGGGCGAGGATGGCGTCGATAAAATTGAATGGAAACAGGTAAGTGTGAATTGCTTTGATCAGAAAATGACATTTTGCGATAAAATGGAATGGAGTTTGAGTAGAAATGAGTAAAAAAAAACTGAGGGGATTTAAAACAAAATTTATCAGAATGGCACAATCGTATACTCGCTTGTTCTAATATTACACTCTTTTTTTTTTAAATATAATGAAGCAACCAGTTATTAAGTTGTTTGAAAAGATAGCAGCTCTCTTCAAGAAATATCCGCTATCCGCCATGTTAAGAAGGCTGATTTCGTAGTAGTTGGGTGGAGGGTCGTTATCTTTGTCGATTGGGCAGAGCAAACTTAGATTTCAGTCGTCAAGCATCTGGCAGGTCGTCGGCTCTAGCAATTTAGCACAATGCCTCCGTCGTCTCCGACGCTGGACTGGGGTTCATTTTCTCTACTGGTTTTAATATCATTTGGCGGGGTTCAGAAGTGCCCCCTTCATAATTTTATATGCGGTTACAGGTTTTCCACGACCAACTTTCCTATTTTTTTTTTTGCTTATCCTTGGAAAATGATGACTTTGTCTTGATTAAATTTATTCAAGAAAGTTGAGGTTTCCAACTAATGTATTAAAATTGTAGGATATTCTTAAAGCTTATCCATGAGTTGGTTTGAAAACAAAGAATAAATAGAAAACTGCTATGTTAAGTTTAAAGAATGGACTTTTATCGACGTTGCACGTTTACAGCGATACATCTACATATGTATGCGTTAGATACTTTAATAGGTATGAAAGTAAGTAAATAAATAAAAACCATCACACCAATGCATTGCTGGCCCTCTGCGTTTATTTTGAGTAATGTTATTTTAACATCAAACCGAAAGTGGAACAAAGTTTTAAAATAAAATTTGTACACTGAGAAGTACGCTAAATTATTTTTATATATTTATGTGTGTTGTAAACTTTAATTGTATTACCCAATTATGTAAGCGTAACTATGTGCTTTCCAAGATATCCCTTTAACTAACTGCATTGAAAGTGCACACAAAATGCGCCAAAGCATAAGCTAGTGAGCTCTCTCCGCGCTTCAGAGCGAAGTGCAACATATTAAGTTGCTATACAGCGTTGTTACGTGCTACTTTCTGCCACATGAAATTAGTCACGATTTCCTTTAATGCCACTCAAAGCTTCGTGCAAGCGAAAGAAACGTGTTGCTTAAATGCAAGTGCAGCTTGTACATGCCTGCGAGTATGCATGCAAGGATGTACGTACCCAACGGCATGCAGCAGTCACTTGCATTTAGCTGCCTATGACACATGCTTGCGGGTTTTTTCATCTTCATGATTCTTTCAATTTTCTGTAAGGCGATTTCATTTGGGTTCAATATCACGAGACATACATACCTAGTTACCGTGTTAGCGTTTCTTCTTGCCTTCAGCAAGCTATTCCGAAAATCAGTATAATATCATGATTTCATACGTAACGAATAGCTTTTCCGACAGAGGGAATAACTTCACTCTTCTCACAAGTATTAGAGTATTCAGAGGCGTTTCAGTAAAAATTATCACTAGAACTTGATAGGAGATCTCACAGAGTGTAGAATAAAAGAGTCCTCCCTTTGGCATGTGGTCGGAGCGATAAAAGCGACAAAATAAAATAAATTCACTTGGGCCTATTTAAGACCAAAAAACTAGATATTTCGATTTTTTAATCCATTACTACTCGCTGGGGAGCATAATGGGAGGTCTCTCCTGGTTAAAGATAAAATATGTACTACAAGTTTTGACCTTATTTCGGTCTAACGAGATAGATTTCTTGCGTTTTTACTCTATTAGGGAATTTAGAGGACGTCGTAAAGTCTTAAAGTCGGAAAAGTTTTCGACGTAAAATAACGGCAAACAAATTTTTATGAATTTGTAAGTACACCAAAATGTTGTGCGTATGAAAAAAGTGGGGCAAAAGGGTTGCCGTGGACATTTTAAATGAAATTTCTTGTGGAACTGTCCACTCCGTTTTTTTAATCTCTAGTTTTTTATTCACTTGCTTGCACTTTTTTGAAAATTACTTGTAATTTGTCTCAGATGTCTGGAATTATTTAAAAAATTATTCATATATTTTTTACAGGATAAAGTTGAGTTAGAAAGCATATTTAATTTCTTACCTATGCTGATATACTCTATAGAGCAAAAGTGAGTAGTTGGTGGTTTTTGTTAAATATTTCCAAGGGTTCTAAAGGCTCTTTTTTATTTTCTAATAAAAATATGGGTCATGCTTTATACAAAACCATATACTAAATCAAACCTTAAATTTTTATAAAGAGCTTAGAAAATTTTTGTATATGCAGTAATCTATAGCCCATAGAAGTTAATCCAACGACGTGTAAGTTTTAAAAGGGAAACAATCGAGTTGAATTTTAATAATTTTTTTTCTGGCGGCTTTTTTTTGCACATTTTTCCCAAGTAAACGTGAATTTCATATGGAAGAAAATGCGTAAGACCGAATTAAAAAATCAACGCCATATTTTATAAATTGCCCTTGTTGTATAAAATACCCGGAAAAAGCCATAAAAAAAAACAAAAATTCATCCGGTTGAGAATTGCTCCTCAACAGACTAAAAGTGTATGGGCGAAAAACTACGCAACGTACTTTCTAAAAATTCGCATTAAACAGTTGAAAATTTCATAAGAAAATTTGTTGATTTTTCTGAACTCTGTATAAAAACTGAAAGTTCGATTTCTATGGTTTTGGTTAAAGCATGTACCAATTGTTTATAAAAAAAATAACAAACAAATTTAAACTTAACAATCCTTGAAAATATTTAACAAAAACCCCCATGTGCTCACTTTTGCTCCGAAGTGTATATTTTTAATGCGGTTCTTTTCTGTTCGCAATACTCGAGAACAGCTTTACTGTATGTTGAACACCTACTCTAAACCCCCCAAGGATTATAATAGGACAAAAATAATTTCGTTATTTAAAGGGATGTGGCAGCTCTACACAAACTGAACTTTTCATGCTTAAACAAGCTCAATTTAACTCATAACAATATCGATATACATAACGAAAAATAAAACGATTGCAAAATCGATTAATTTGTCGATAATTGTATTGATAAAAAGATCGATTATCATACCGATAACAATATCAATTATTATACCGATAACAATATCGATTATTATGTCGATAACAATATCGATCTTCATCCTCGTCTTTTTCCTTTCACCTTTGCCTTAGAGTGTTTAAAATTACCTTAATCTTCATTTTTGCTTTGATCCTTACGCAT